GGTAGTTGGGGTTTGAACATAACAGGTTTTCAGTACAAAACTCAGTTGTGGCCTTTAGTTAATTAAAATGGAAAAACTGAAAGAAGATACTGATTTGGAAGATGTTTTGACATGTGTAAAATGCTTTGCAATAGATTTGATATCATAACATATAACTATAACTAAGAAAGAATTTTGGAAATGTTCCTGCCTCTTTCATTTTTGATTAAAAACAAAGGTGGAGGAAAAGAAGTTTAATTAATGAAGTACCTGTCATTCAGGTACTTGGTATGGTTTTACCTATGGAAATGCTGAGAAAACCTTTGAAAGGAGAACAGTTGTTGAACAGCACAGTTAGACATAAAGGCCTACTCATTAGCCATCTATAGACATACATTTTTCCCCCTTTGAAATCTTTTGTATGGAATAATAATTACAAGGATATTTAATGCCCTGAGCGATCTCTTCCCCTAAGTACTTGCTTTCCAAACATTCCTCTTCATTTTAGTTGCTTACTCAAGTGATTGACTTTGGGCCATCTTCACTGATGCTCACATGCAAGTTAGGAATATGAAGTATTTTACTGTGTAACAGGAAAGGGATTGCTGCCAAAAATCCACTACAAAATCCACAGAGCTCCCTGGGAGCAGAGCTAAATGATCTTTCTTGGCTTTCTTTCCATAATTTGAGCCAAGTACTACTCTTCATGAAACTTCATAGCCAAAGAAATCATATTTGACTAATGCTTTAAGAAGGCATGATGATCAGATATTCCACAGTTTGAACTTTTAAAATTGGTTATTTGTTTATTCATTTAAAATATCATAGGAGAGAAAGTGTTTCCATTATAAAAGCACTTGCTTGGTCTATTAAACAGTTCTGAAAAAAAAAAATAGACAGAATATTTGAGGGAAGAAGAAAATTAAGCATCCATAAGTGGACTGTACTACTCAGAGGCAATAACTATTCACTTCTTAAAAATATTGTCCAATGTATAGGCTTTCTGTGTTTGTATTTTTGTTTGCTCTACATAGTTGTAGTTGTGTCCTATGATGTGTGGAATACTATTCCTGACAGTAAATTGCCAATAAATCTCCAAACCTGTTCCTCTTTCTGAAACTTTGTACCCTTCAATCACCATTTTTCATTCCTTCTCTCCCACCTGCCCAGCTTCTGGTAACATCAGTCTACTTTCTACTTCTATGAAGCGCATCTGTTTTAGAGTATTTCTTTCTTTGCCTACCTTGTTTCACTTAGCCTAATGTCCTCCAGATTTATCTATGTTACTATAATCAACAAGATTCCTGTAGCCCCCCTTTTAAGACTGAATGCCATTCCATTCTGTATATGTGCTACATTTTCTTTATCCATTTATTCATTGATGGACATTTAGGCTGATTCTATATATTGATTCCTATGAGTAAGGTTGCAGTGAGCGTGAGAAGCCAGACATCTCTTCAACTTTTTGATGTCAATTCCTTTGGATGCATATTCAGAAGTGGAATTACTAGATTGTTGGTAGTTCTACTTTTAATTTTTTTGGGGAACCTCCATACCATTTTCCATAGTGAATGTTTAATTTACATCCCATCAACATAAAAGAGTTCCCTTTTCTCCATATCCTCACCAACACTTGTTGTCTTTCATTTTTTTTTATTTTGATTATCTTGTGTCACAACCCACCTGAGAGCCAATTACTGCATGCAGGGCAGTGGAATACTCTGGCCATGAGTAGGCCATGTTCCCACTCTTTGATGGGATGGGGTAGACAGATCTGTCCAGAAGAAACAGGGACCACATAACTCCAGAGATTTTGTTTTCTTTTTCTTCCTTTCTTTTCTTTTCTTGGAGATTTTTGGGATGGTTTTTTCTTTATCTTCTTTCATTCAGTTCTTGTTTATTTTTATTCCCATATGAATGAATTATAATTGTAGATTCTCACCCTCCCACATACCCTGCTAACAATATAAAAGCTTTCTTTCAAGACTGTTCCTGATTTCTAGCATTAATTTTGTTGAGCTCTTCATGGGCTTGATTCCATCTTATCTTTTTGTTAAATTTTTATCAAGTATACATAATCTGTTCACACATAAATGAGATTAGCTAGAGATTTAATTGTGAGGTTGTATACTTTCCTTCCCAGAACTCTGTAGGTTTTCTCCATTGTCTTATAGCATTTACTTTTATGGAAATCCAAAGGCAATCTGATTTGCCGTTGTTTTTGTTGTTTAAGGTCATTTCCTTAGAACATGCTTTGAAAGAGGAATATTCATTTCTTTTGCATCTCATCACTAATCTTGGCTAGAAAAATTTTTTAAGTGATAAAGTTTCTTTTTCTCTGCCAAAGCTGTTATGTCTGCTCCATATTTCCTTTTGTTGTGCTGGCTTTCACTACTCTCTCCACCCATTGTTGTTTCCTATGGAATAACATTCTATCTTCTTCATACTGCTATAAAATATCTATACAGGGATAGCAATATATATCTATACATGCTCTGTGTCCTCGTTCCATTGTCTTGTTTTTGTTTATTTGTTTACCTTTTCTGGCCTTCTGGGAAAGCAAAAGTGTAGTGAGAGTATCTCTTACTTCATTGTGAGTCCTTTGAGACTGATTGATTTTGCATTTCCTATTTCATTGCTTGCCACAAGGTGCACAGTGATTTTTTTTCCCTTTTTTATTACTGGAAATTTGATCCAGGGCCTCATACATGCTAAGCAAACACTGTACCACTGAACCACATCCCCAGCCACAGTAAATACTTTTTGAATGAATAAATGTAGACTAATTTTTTTCCTTGCAGTTCTCCTCAATTTTCTGTAGTATCTTTTCTGCTGTGTGCAGATTTTCGATTACTATGCTCCATTTGGGGCATGTGACTATATATGTGTATATATGTATGTATTTTCAGTCTTATGCTTTTACCCAGCTCCCTTTTTGTCAAACTCATATTTTACTTATTGAATGACTGATTTTTGCAATCATGTCTGTTCTAGCTTTATCCAGAATTAATTCACAACCAGTCTTTCTTGTCCATGTCTGCAGGGCATTTCTCTCTTGAGAACCTGCTGTTTGTTGCTCATTCTGTTTATTCCCTCTTGAAAATGGACAAGTGCAGCAGGACCAGTATTGGTCTGTTGGTTTGTGTGCTGCAGGGCCAGTGTCAGCAGGAGCACTGGGGTAGGTTGATAGTGTGTGGCCTTGGCAGTTTTCAGTGCCTAGGAGGCACTCATCTAGTGTCAGTCTGTGAACTAACATGCCATCATCTTCTGATGATGTGAAATAAGTACAGTGCATTCTTAAAACTCTGAGGTAGGCTTTGTACCTTCTCTAGGAGATCATGGTTCAAGGCCAGCCCGGGCAAAAAGTTTGCAAGACCCCATCTCCACAAATAAGCTAGGTATGGTAGTGGGTGCCTCTTATCTCAGCTATGCTGGAGGCATAAGAGGATCACAGTCCAGGATGACCTGGACAAAAACATAAGACCCTATCTCAATAATGACTAAAGCAAAAAGGGCTGGGGGCATGATTTGAGTGGTAGAGCACCTCCCTAGCAAGCACGAGGCCCTAAGTTCACCACCAAAAAAGGGGGAGGGGATGGCAATGACAATCACCCAAGTATCCAGTAGGATATTGGTAAAATAAAAGTTTGGTGTATTTATTTGTATAATGAATACTATATTGTGACTAAAATGTTGTGGTAGATCTAAACATGATCATGGAATGATATTCAGGATATAAAAAGTAGGGAAATGTTACATAGAGTAGTTGGCATGCAGTACTTAGTGGTATGCTTTTAAATACCACAGTTTTGACCACTGTCGGAATCCTAATCCCACTTTTGTTTTGCATGGGTTCTGGTTGTTTATTTTGTGGTGGGGGAGTTGAACTCAGGGCCTTGCACTTGCTAAGCAAGTACTAGACCACTTGAACCACTCCACCAGCCCTTTTACACTGGTTATTTTTGATATAAGGTTTGACTTTATGTCTGGGCCAACCTGCACCTCAGTCTTCCTGTTTTCTGCTTTCCTGTGTAGCTGGAATGACAGGTGGGCACAACCACACCCAGATTTTGGTTGAGATATGAGGGTCTTGTGAACTTTCTGCCCATGTTGGCCTTGAACTGTAGTCTTTCCGCATATCTAGGATTGTAGGCATGAACCAACTTTACATGTTTTAGTTTGTCATTTATTCTTATTATCAACACTCTTTTTAGTCAAAATATTATTTTTAAATACCAAAAGTAGTCTTTTTCCTGATTTTGCATAATTCTTATATTTCTTTTATAGGAAAAATTTTAGACTTTGAGTAAAAACTTTTAGGTAAAGCTTTTAAAATATCTTGTGAAGGGGATTGGACTTTGAGCACATGATAAAAGCGAGAGCACACAAGGGAGGGGTGAGGATAGGTAAGACACCTAAAAAATTAGCTAGCATTTGTTGTCCTTAACGCAGAGAAACTAAAGCAGATACCTTAAAAGCAACTGAGGGCCAATAGGAAAAGGGGACCAGGAGCTAGAGAAAAGGTTAGATCAAAAAGAATTAACCTAGAAGGTAACACACACGCACAGGAAATTAATGTGAGTCAACTCCCTGTATAGCTGTCCTTATCTCAACCAGCAAAAACACTTGTTCCTTCCTATTATTGCTTATACTCTTTCTTCAACAAAATTAGAGATAAGGGCAAAATAGTTTCTGCTGGGCATTGAGGGGGTGGGAGGAAGAGGGAGTGGGCAGAGTGGGTGGTAAGGGAGGGGGTTGGAGGTAGGGGGGAGGAATGACCCAAGCCTTGTATGCACATATGAATAATAAAACAATTAAAAATATATATATATATCTTGTGATACTTAATATGTATTTAAATTTGGAATAAAACTTGAAACACATTTTAGTTTGGTCACTTAATGTTTCAAATTATTGAACTGATGTTATCAAAAACTTGTAAGATATTTTGGTATAACAATTTAAGTGTATTAAGAGTTAAAGTTATGATTTTTGTTTGCTTTTTTTTTCTTTTATTTTAGCATTCTGTACTGGAAGAAGAGGTTTATACATGAAAAAAATGCCTTTGTTTAGTAAATCACACAAAAACCCAGCAGAAATTGTGAAAATTCTGAAAGACAATATGGCTATTTTGGAAAAACAAGACAAAAAGACAGAAAAGGTATGAACAAAAACAAAAACATTATGAAAAGTCATATTCAAAAACTAATGTAAAGACTTAATGAAGGATCACAAATATGTTCTGTGGTGTGCACATAGGGTCTGTAGAAGAACATGTATGTTAGTTTCATGTTTTATGTACTGGGATTATTCAGTCTGCTGTATTAAACTCTTGGTTTACTATCTGGAGCCTCTGATCAACCCTGGATCACTGTACACTGCAGAGTTTAAAGAGCTCAGTGTTTTTGCTGGTCTGTTGTGTTACAGTGACTCGAAAGAGAAGAAAAGTTTTATTTAAGGACTGAAAGATAGTTTCTACTACAGTGCAACCTCGTTTCACATTGTTCTAAGATCTCAGTAAGCAAGACTCCTCATAGGTTGGGCCTTTTAGTATTTTAATTATTCCTATGAAAGGATGTTGAAGGCTACATTTTGGATTTCTCTCAAAGTGACTGAGTTATGGCAAGATTCACAGTTCCTCTACAATAAATGCCCTTGGGTTCATAGTATTTTTCTGTCCCAGTATATGATACAGTCCTAAATTCTATAAGTGATGGAGAAATGTCTTATTTTAAATTCTAGTGTTCTTTATAATATAGTGCCAAATATTGGCCCAAACATAAATAAAAAATAATGGCTTCCACAAAAGAGTATGTATAGCTAAATAGCAAGCAATAGAAAGGAGGAAAAAACCTTTTCATTTTCAGTAGTAATCAGGAAAAGACTAATTAAACCCACAAATAAGAGTGTATGTGTGTGCCCATGTTTATTGTGGCACTATTCACAATAGCCAAGTTATGGAAACAGACAAGATGCCCCACCACTGACGAATGGATTAAGAAAATGTAGTATCTATACACAATGGAATTTTATGCAGCCATGAAGAAGAACGAAATGTTATCATTCGCTGGTAAATGGATGGAATTGGAGAATATCATTCTAAGTGAGGTTAGCCTGGCCCAAAAGACCAAAAATCGTATGTTCTCCCTCATATGTGGACATTAGATCAAGGGCAAACACAACAATGGGATTGGACTTTGAGCACATGATAAAAGCGAGAGCACACAAGGGAGGGGTGAGGATAGGTAAGACACCTAAAAAATTAGCTAGCATTTGTTGCCCTTAACGCAGAGAAACTAAAGCAGATACCTTAAAAGCAACTGAGGCCAATAGGAAAAAGGGAACAGGAACTAGAGAAAAGGTTAGATCAAAAAGAATTAACCTAGAAGGTAACACCCATGCACAGGAAATCAATGTGAGTCAATGCCCTGTATAGCTATCCTTATCTCAACCAGCAAAAACCCTTGTTCCTTCCTATTATTGCTTATACTCTCTCTACAACAAAATTAGAAATAAGGGCAAAATAGTTTCTGCTGGGTATTGAGGGGAGGGGAGAGGGAGGGGGCGGAGTGGGTGGTAAGGGAGGGGGTGGGGGCAGGGGGGAGAAATGAACCAAGCCTTGTATGCACATATGAATAATAAAAGAAAAAAAATAAAAAGAGTGTATGTGTGTGTGTGTGTGTGTAAAACACACTTGTTTAAAACACTTGTTACTGGGACCTGAACCCAGGGCCTCCCTCTTGTTAGGCAAGCATAGTACCACTTGAGCTCTGATCCCAGCTCTCAATCCCACAATAAATTCACATTATACACCTACTGTCTTGGCAAAAATGAAAAAGTGATGGTTTTAAGTGTTTACAAGGATGGGGAGCAACCGTGAGTGACAAAGTGTACATTGATGTAACTACTTTGGAAAGTAGTTTAATATTATCTGTTAAATAGGAAGATGTTTGTGTACTAAAATCCTGCAGTTCCCCTTCTAGGTATAAACTCTAAAGTAAAAAAATATGCAAGAGTATTCACAGCATTATTGTTCATAGTAACTTCTCAATGAAAACAACCAAATATCCATCAACACTAGGACTGAGAAAGAAGTGGCATAGGCATCAGTGGAATATGAGAGGGATGACAATTTTGTAACCTTGTTTTTTCTTTTTTTCTTCTTCTTTTTTTTTTTTTTTTGTGGCATTAGGGTTTGAACTCTGGGCCTCACACTTACTAGACAGATGTTCTACTGCCTGAGCCATTCTGCCAGCCTTTTTTGTATTGGGTATTTTCAAGATAGGGTCTCACTTTGAATTGATATTCTCCTGATCTCTGCCTCCTGAGTAGCTCGGATTGCAGGCATGAGCCACCAGCACCTGGCTCACAAATGTAATGTAGAATGAAAGAGGCAAAGCATGAAAGAGGACAAATATTAGTCCATCATGTTCAAAATCAGAGGAACTGAAGTTATGTTTTTGAGGCATACATGCATAGGTAAGAAAACTATAAAGAAAAGAAAAAAATTGATTGTTGTGTTAGTAAGCTTTTAGTTACTATAATGAGATACCTGAGACAATCAAGTTACAAAAAGGACAGGTTTGTTTTAGCTCACACTTTTGGAGGATTCAGTCCATAATTGGGTGGGCCCATCGCTTTTGGGCCTTTTGTGGGGACAACACATAATGATGGGAGCATAGAATGTAACAAAACTGTTTATCTCATGACTGGGACTAGAAAAAAAGAGGACAAGATTGGGATCTTCACAGTCCCTATCAAGGGCACATCCCAGTGACTAAAAGAGACCTCCCACTAGGCCCACCTCTTGCAGTTTCTACCACCCCTCAATAGTACCAAGCTGGGAACTAAGCCTTTAACATGTATGTTTTTAGGAGACCCTTAAGGTCCAGATTATAGCAATGTCATGAGATATAAAAGTATTTACATCTAGGCTGAAAAGAGAGCATTCAGGTAACTTTCAGAGTGCTAATAGTGTTCTGTTTCTTGACTTGGGTGATGGTCACAAAAGGGTTTGCTTTATAATTACTCTTAGCTCTCTATATATGTTTAAAGTACTCTTCTATTGATATATCTCATAACTTAAGAATCTTTCAGCCCATAATAAGTTAAGGATTACTTCAGCCAGACCGCAAAAATAACTAGAAAATTCTTGTTTTTAAAGTAGTGTCTTGCTATTATGTTTTTATGTAATTTGTCTTAATCCCTTCATTTATAATTATTACTATACTTACTTGAAAGTAACAAAGCTGTACTTCTTTAAAAATACTCTGAAAATCAAATTATTAACTAAATTAGTCTTCTTAGTCACTTGTACTAGTGACAAATTTTCATGGAGGTTAAGCACAGTGACTCATAGCTATAATCCCAGGTATGTTGGAGGCAGAGATCAGGAGGATCACCATTAAAGGCCAGCCTAAGCAAAAAGTTAGCCAGACTCCATTTCAACCAGTAAGCATGGTATGGTGGTATGTGCCTCTCATCCCAGCTATGTGGGAGACATAAATAGCAGGATCAGTGTCCAAGTCAGCCCAGGCAAAACTGTGAAACCCTACCTGAACAATAACTAATGCAAAAAGGGCTAAGGTTGTGGCTCAGGTGGTACAGTGCAAGTGAAAGGCCTAATTCAAACGCCAGTACCACCAAAAAAAGATTGCGATGTGGTTCCTCATTTAAAGTGTAAGATTCTGTGTTTTTAGTACATTCCCAAGGTTGTGCAGCTATCACCACTATCTTAATTCTGAAACATTTTCATACCCTAACCAGTAACCCTGCACCAATTAGCAGACATTCTTCATACAACCTCCCTTAATTGAATTTTTAGTTTCAAGTGTCATAAATAGCAAAAAGATGATTGTGTTTGAGGAATAAGTGAATTGATCACTTTTGTTTTTATACCTGGACAATTAAAAGATCAAGAGAATAGGAATTTGTTGAAAAACATTACATTATGCTGTAAATAAAAACTAGTAACTGCTGATGAGTCTTCAAAACAGAATCAATTTAATTCTCAGAGTAAATTTTTTGTTTGCTCTTCATTTCTATTTATCTATTAGCAAAATTGCAGTATGAGATGGTTTCAGGAAAAATTACTTCAATAATAGAGATCTTTTAGCATAAATTTAGTAATATTTTCCAAAATCAAAAAGGCAGTGCTTTTTAATGGTTCTTTATGGCTGTACAATGGTGTTTGGTTATAAATAAACAGGGTTCAAGAAGTATTTGTTTGTTTATGGCCTAAGAATTCTTGCTTTTTTTTAACTATTAGCTTATGTTTTGGTCACTAGGCTTCAGAAGAAGTGTCAAAATCACTACAAGCAATGAAAGAAATTCTGTGTGGTACGAATGACAAGGAGCCACCAACAGAAACTGTGGCTCAGCTGGCACAAGAACTCTACAACAGCGGACTGCTAGTGACATTGATAGCCGACCTACAGCTGATAGACTTTGAGGTGAAGGATCTGTAAAAGGATAGCGTTCTGCTTTTCAGTTTTAATATATATGAGTATCAATATTTGACTTTTACAAATTATTGCTGTCCATATATTTAAAAGACAGTTTTTTCCTAAAACCTTTGCAATCGCTTTCATCTCTTGTTTAAGCAAAAAAGGTTTATTGTAAAGTTTTATGGGGGCTGGTGGACTGGCTCAGTTGGTTGGTAGATCGCCTGCCTACCAAGTATGAGGCTGAATTGAAACCCCAGTATGGCAAAAAAAAAAAAAAAAGTTAAACATTTTGTGCAGCTCAGTAGCAAGGGTTAATGGCTACAACTAAAATAATAATAGATATCATTCGGTGAATGCTTACTATATGCCAGGTATGGTTTCAAGCACACACAGCTTACTTAACTCTTACAACCACTTTTGTGGTTAAAACTATAGTATTAGCTCAGTTTTATAGATGAAGAACCTAAGGTTCAAAGACATTAAGTAATTTAGCCAGGCTAGTGGCTCAAGCCTATAATCCTAGCTATTTAGGGGGCTGAGATTAAGAGGACTGTGGTTTGAGGCCAGCCTGGGCAAAGAGTTTGCCAGACCCCATCTCAACCACTGGCTGGGCCTGGTGGCATGCACCTGTCATCTCAGCCACACAGGGAAGCTTGAATCCGAGGATCATGGTCCAGGCCAGGTGAGGCCCTGAGTTCAACCCCCAATATGGCCCAGGGAAGAAAAAAAGATATTAAGTAATTTGCTGCCGCAGTTCAAACACAGTATCTACTAAGCCAGTCCTTTTTCTTGAAAACTACACCAACAATTAGGTGCCAAACAGCTTCATGCCTGTATCTAGCTACTTGAGATGGAGAGGGGAAGATCATGGTTTGAGGCCAGCCTGGGAAAGTAAGTTCACAAGACGCTCATTTCAACTAACAGCTAAGAATGCAGTGGCATGTATCTGTGGGTTCCCAGCCTATGTGGGAGGTTTTGGGGGATCTTTGAGCACAAAGCCAGCCAAGGCAAAAAAGTTTGTGAAACCCCATCTCAGTGCATGGTGGCATGTGTCTGCCATGATTGAGGGAAGTATAAATGGGCAAAAAGTCAAGACTCTGTCTCAGATAAACAGATCAAAAAAGGAGCTGGAGGCATGCTCAAGCAGTAAAAGCTTAAGCAAGCCCAAAGCCCTTAGTTCAAACCCCAATACTGAAAAAAAAAAATTTAACATATGTATATATAAAACTTTCCAAATCATACATATATATATAAATATATAATATATATATATAATATGTGCCCCCGTTTTTATATGATGAGAATCCTAAGGTTTCAAATGACAATTAAGTAATTTAGGGCCAGGTAGTGTCTCAAGCCCTATAATCCAGGTACTTAGGAAAACAGAGATCTGGGAGGATCATTTTTTGAGGCCAGCCCGGGCAGAAAGTTCCCAGACCAATATGGTTGTGGTGGCATGCATAGATATCTTGAGAAATTGTTAAATGATGGATAGTTACCTGATTTCGAAAGTGATTAAACTGAATTTACCTAAATAATTGGTAGTTCAAAAACAGAAAATGTAAGTATGAGTATAGAATTGAAATATGGTATTTTTATTTTTATTGCATATCTCTAATTTGAATATTGAGTGAATATTTCAGTTAAAAACTGTATATATACATAGGTAAGTTTGGGATGGACCTATTAGGTGGCAGATATCCTAGACTTTCTTTGTTTCCTTCTTTGTGTTCTACTTAATAGTGCTTTGATCTCCATTGATTTCCTTAAGGACGAGGAGATAGCAGATTTTTTTTTTTTAAAACTGAGCAAAATGAAGAAACTAAATTACAGTGACTACAGTGATTAGGCGAGATAAGTCTTGGGGCTCCTGGGATGTGTGGAATACTGAGCCCACAAGTTTGCTGTCAGATTAGATAGGGATGCCGGGCATGGAGGAGGAAGGCAGACTAAAGACTGATGGGGAGAGGTGCATGCTGCTCTAAGCTGGAAGCAAGAATGGAGGGAGGGACCCTAAAGGGCCAGACTCCAGCTTTTCATTTCCCTCAATAGCACCTGAATACCCCTTTTCCTGTCTTACTCTGCTTAAATTCTGTTTTCCCTAGCTTTGACATTTACTAGTCTAACAATTCTCTTTCTTCTTAGTTGGCTTGCTAACTCTTTTGGTCCTCGTGTTTTGTATCCCCCATCTCCTTTATACACTGGCTTTCTGTGGAAATTAAAGTGTACTTCTCATTGTGTTTATAATTTTACTGTTACGGATTTTTAAAATTTAGCTTAAAATTATATTTATGAACACTTTGTAGAAAGCTGTGTCATAGTGGAAAAACACTTGACTTGAAATTGTTTAGAGTCCAGCCTCTGCTATTCGATAGTCAGTAACTTAACCTCTTCCAAGCCTGAAGTTTTCTCATGTATAAAAACCGGAATAGATGAGCTCACAGACTTGCCTTAAATATTAAACTAAGTGAAATAATATGCATATATATGTTATTAAGAAGACCTAAATACAAATGCAAGCTACATAACAAATTGCCATATTTCCTCCTTTCTCCACAAAGTAATAACATAAACTGAGTTGAATTTTGTTATAACTTAGATTTTTTTGTTTGTTTTTAGGTTAGTTGGACAGTGGACCCATGATTTGAGTTTGAATTATGATTAATATTTCTGTAAGTTTACTATGTTTTGCAACAATTCCCTGATAGTAAAGTCATCTTGATTCATATTGTTCACTTGAAACATGAGATTAGCACAGTTTACAGTTAGATGCTGGAAAGAAAGATGACCAAGAAATGGTTATGTTTTGAAGAAATGGTCAAAGATGAACATGTACTCGGTGGTAATGATTCAAGAGAAGCCTTTAACAGCCACAGAATATCAGGGTTCAAAGTGCTCTTCCAAGGATGGGGAGGGGGGAAGTAAGGAAGAGACACCAAAGTTGTACAAGTTTCCCTTCTTTTGTATGATATGCTGAAAATAAATGTAAAATTTAGAGAGAAAATTCATGTAAAATTATTTGGGGATTAAGCTGGGTGTGTTGACTCCCACCTGTAATCCAGCACTGAGGCAGGAGGATTGCGTGAGGCCAGCCCAGACTACATAGTGAAATCCTATCTGAAAAAACGAAAAAAGGCAAACAGGTTTCTCTTTGACTAAAATTGATTTGTAGACAGGAGGTGTGACTCAAGTGGTGGAGCACCTGCTTTGTAAGTGTGAAGCCCTGAGTTCAAACCCCAGTCCTGCAAAAAAAAAAAAAAATTTGTACATTACCAAATAAATTTTACTCTCAAATCCTTGAATAAAAGAAGTGTCTTTCTGAATATTTGAATTTTCCAAGTAGCTGTTGATTAAGTCTTCAAATACGGAGAGCTGAATTAATTACTTTTGTGGATAACTTTTTGCGCCCTGTACTGGGAATTGAACTCAGGACCTTGCACTTACTAGGCAAGCACTTGCCATCTCACACTAACTTTACCTAGAGTAACCTCAGATTGCAATCATCCTGTCTCTGTCTCCTAAGTAGCTGTTACTATAGGCATACTTATTTTTCATTTTTGTTTGTTTTGTTCCATTTTTTTTTTGCAGTCCTGGGACTTGAATTCGGGACCTTGTGCTTGCTAGACAGGTGCTCTTACCACTTGAGCAATGTTCCTTTGCCTTTTTTAATACGATGTATTCTGTGCTTGCTTCCCCTCCAAAATAATATACTAGGTATAACAAATTTTTGCTGGTGACTCAAAGCTATCATTAATGAAGACCTTTTACTGTGATAATAAAGCAGTAGGCAGTTGAATAAACTCTATTTCGTCAATTCTATAACAATGTCTAGAACAAAATTATATATAAATAGGATACTTAGTAGTTCTTCTGGCATGTAATAAGTACTTGGTTGAAATGAATGAATGAAAAAGCAGTTAAAATTTAAGACAGTTCAATTTCAAGCATACCACCGACTGCATACATTGTTTTCAGGAAGAAGACAGCATTTCTAGCATCATTAGCTTACTTGCAAAAATGTGTTGTGTATTTCTGTGAACTGGAGATGGTGATCAGCCTACAAGAAGTAACTTTCCTTCCTAAAGTATTCCCATAAGCTAATAACAGCTTTATAAAATTTTCCTGGCAAGAAAACTTACTCTAAACATACATGCACACACATACAGAGAGAGAGAGAGAGAGAGAGAGGAGAGAAGAGAGAGGTCCTCTTGGTCCTTAGTAACTACTGGGGAAGCCCTTTCTGTCCAGGGAGTATCTTGAGTACTAACTAGGACTGTGCCTTCCAAAGTAGTTGCATGTTGGTCAGTTGGTTGGTTGAATGCATGTAGAAATGAGAATGAGAGATCAAAGCATAGGAAAAGGTATTAGACCAAAGGAAGGTATCCTGAGACACATCACTAGCTCTTTTCCCTGAGGAAGTCTTAAATTGTTTAGAAGACCATTCAGGCTATTTTGAGTGATAATCCAAACTTTTCAGTAAGTGAATAACCTCTCACTATGCTTCTTTGAAGGGCACAACAGTCCTTTGACTAAAATTTCTGCTATGTTTTTATAACTGGGAAGAAAAATTATTTTCTTAGGGATGGGTTTACAACTCTGCCAGAAATATCTAAGAGGATGGGAGCCATTCCTATACAGAAGGGAAAAAAAGAGGTGAACTTTTGTTTAGAAGAATTACCCTTGTTGGGATTTTTGTTGTTGTGGTAAAGGTTTGAATCTCTAGGCAGTGGTCCTGGAAAGGAAAAGAAATGGAAAGAAAATGGCTTGGATTCCCTTTATAGAGTACAGTAACAGAAATGTGAGAAATGCCTCTTTGGGGAAGGTTGACAGAGTAGGAAATAGAGATAGGAGAAAGATTCCGAGCAGGGAAAGAAAATGATCCAGTACCATGACAAAAAAAAAAAAAAGATTTCTTGAGGAGAAAGCTAATCAGGGAGGTTGAAGAACCTTCAATAATAAGTAGTGACACAGTGAATTCAACTTGAAGTTGTTTCTACACTAAGCTG